TAAGTTGATTTTTTTTGAAAAATTGATCAATTTATAATTTTGAAAAATAATGAATATTATTATTTGTGAGTTGATTAATACATAATAGTACATAAGTTTACCAATTAATTCAATGATTGTAATAATAAGAATATTAAATACGTAGAAAAAATAAAAAAATTTTCTGTTCGAAATGCAGAAATTAGAGAAGTCCTTACTCGAGTGATCGATTATCTTGCAAAATAATTCTAGTCTATAAAAGGTTTCTCACTTTACATATTTTGTATTAGTTTAATGAAGCTAGCAGAGCATATGTGAGTTCCACATTTTAGTCTCGTAGGGGCTGCACTAACAAGTTTTGTTTTCCTTTTTTTTCTAATAACAGTACGATATCTCTAAATATGTGAAAAGGCCACTTGATGTGAGAAGACAAAAAGAAAAGATGATTCTACATTTTAAAAAAGATAATTTTTTTCTTTTTTTTTTGTTATATCTGTAATTATGTTTTAACATGATGCATCTATACTATTACGAATGAAAATCATATAAATCATCTCTACAATTGACTATTACGTCATTTTAAATTAGATTGCCATCTCATTTATGAAAAAATTTCATTTGCATATTTGCTTCGAAAAAATCATGGAATATAGAACCTTGAAATCGACATTTATTATAATATTAACTCTTGGAGTACCAAGTTTATTTTTGGAGATAATAATATGATAACATGCATTTGTATTCTATGATTTTGATTGCTAGACTGGTATTTTTACCAAAATTAGATTATTTTCCTCTTCAGTCTTTTAAAGAAATGATTAAAATTATAGTTTTTCTTTATTTGGAAGAGGTAATACAAAAAATTCGTTCAACAGAGTGCTCATCACAAACAAGTTCTGAACATTGATAATATTTATTACGAACTTTTCTATCTTTAGAATGATCACAAAGCGAACATCATTTACATTTTGATCGTGTAAAGTTTTCATTTCATACTTCTGATGATTGCTTTATTATAGAATAACTGACAAAGACTAATGCATTTTGGATATCCTTATGTAAAAATTTAGAAGTTTTCGAGTGATAATTTAGTTCGCAGATCAAAGTATGAAGTCATATTAAATACTCATAACGAGCATATAAAAAGAAACGTTGAAATTTAGATCCCGCTTGAAACTCTTAGTGTTAATTTAACTAATATAGAATAATCAGAATTTGTTTATTTTTTTCGTTCTTCAATATAAAAATAGAATCTCGATAATAAAGTGCTGACGTTTCTTTGTACGTCACGTTCATTTTATTTTAAGCATCGTTCTTTTTTTATCTCTTTAATCCTTCATTTGCAAGGTTCTTGTCATCTAGAATAGAAGTTCTCGTAACCTATCTGACGTTGTTTTATAAAAAAAAGAAAAAGAACATTATAATTGAAAAGAGATGCGTACGAGTACGATTTCTGACTAGTTGTTTGATGTCTTCTCTTATCTGTTATTTTTAGGATTTGAAAGCATCATTACTTTGAATTTATCTCATTATTATATAAAACTAAAATAATTTAGAATATTCAAAAAGTATAATTAGATTTCTGTTTAACTTTTTTTCTACAATTATTATCATATGAAATTTTACCTGGAAGTTCACTTGTGATAGAAATACATTATAATGTGCTTTTTCATTTCGAATTCAGATTAACGTGACAATCGTGGATGATTATATATATAACTTTTAAGTGTTACTTTTTTCTCTCAAGATAAACAATATTGAAAAAAAAATTGATTACATAATAAATTAAAAGTAATGCAGCCAAAGTCAAAAATCTTATTATTTAACAATCTCTTATAATTAATAATAATCATTATGGAACAAAGTTGTTTACTCGTCTAAATCATTGTGCGTATGTTGTATCTTATGCACAAAAAAAAATCTATCGAATGTACTCTAGAAAACTGAAATTAAGTAAACAAATTTGTTGTTTTTCTTTTTACAAGATTTTTCTATAAATAGAACTACAATTATAAATTCATTTTAATCAAATTATTTTTAGTCTCTATTTAATCTATTTCAATCCTATATACTGATTATTTTACAATAAAAAAAACAAATTGATAATATGTTTCTATTCTCACATACTGAAATATTTGAGAAACAAAAACACACACACACACACATTGAAACATTCAATTTTTATTCCATGAAATATTTTCACACTTAAGAGATTAGTTTCAATTTACTTGAATTCTATGCAGACATATCGATGTATGAATTTAATGTCTTTTGAAAAAATTCAAAAGAGAAGAGTTTTAGTAATTTTCAAAGCCAGATACTAATCTATACGTAAATGACAAATTATTTGCATCTGTAAGTTTTACATTTTTTGACATTGACAACTAAACAAAAGAATTTATTAAATATATGACAAAAAGAGAACATAAGTATTTTAGTTGATGATGAAATATTTCAGAAGAAAAACAAATTCGACTTGGTTAGACTTAATAATTGAAATTTTTCAAATGTATTTTAAACCTAATCTATTTATATATGTATTTCAAATCCATAATGCTTCTCAATTAATCATTATATTTTTAGTGAATTTCTCCAATATATTATACAAATACAAGTACACATAGTTACTTTCACATAGAATGTTCATATAATATAATCAGAATTCTAAGACAGAATCAAGATAAAATTAACAGCACAGACAAAGTTTCAAATCCTCTTTTCATACACACGCACTTGGCGTACACTATAATCACTATTGTCGTTTTATTATATGTTGTATATTGAGAATTCCAAAGGATTCACAAAGTCTTGATTTACAGCATAATTAATTCTATTGTATTTCAGATTGAAGAAAACAAAAAGACCCTCACAGATGTTTTTCTAAAAGGTTCTTGTTATTAGTCTTCTTTTTATTATAATAATGTGTTTCTCGTGTCAAGCTAATTGAAACATGATTCACAATATAAGTAAATACAAAAGCATATTTTATGGAAACACACATCAACAAAGTTTCAAGCGCATCTTTAATTATTCACATTTAATAGATTATGCAAATTTTAGCCATCGGCATACTTTTAATATGAGAAAAAATAACATTATGGATATTAAATACAGTCTATAAGTAAGTTTTTTTTTCGTAATTTAATGCTTAAGAAATTTTTTATTTTTAAGAATAATTCGATATTGACATCATTAAAGAGATTTCTTTACACAGAAAAAAAAAAGAATGTTTCTTACATATATTTATATAAAGCATGAACGGTAAATATAATAAAAATTAGATTGATATTCTTTCTGTTTTAGATCAATTCATATAAATAAATGGGAAGAATGACAAATAGTAGGCTGTTATTTTTTCATATTTTTATACATTATCAGATACTAAAAATTCTATACTAAATGTAATTTATGTAATCCTATCAGTTTTTTCTTCATGTTTTTGTTGAGTTTTGATGGAGTGCGTATTTCTCTAATCAGTTTAATCAAAATACTAAGTTGCATATATAATCAAATATTAATCCTTTCAAGGTATTTTAGATTAGATTCCATGTTAAAGATTCATGCGACAGCTATAAAATCATTCAACCATTTCTTCATCTTGTCAAAAGAATTTCTTTTTTGCAAAGGCGACCATTTTTGAAAAATTTTCAAACACTTAGATAAAATAAGTATAAGTGTAAACAACCGTTTTCTGAGAAACAAGACAGTTTTTTTTGGCTCGCAGTACGATCCTTTATCTCAAGTTGACCGACCAAGAAAGATTATCATTTACGCAGACAACCAATGTTCGCCTACCGTCTTCATAATGGAGATCATATGCGGTGTTATATTGGCTTCATACTCCTCCCGAGATGATTCTATTACTTCGCATACGGTTACAGAGATATACCATTGTAAAGCTTATCTATATAAACCGTTAAAATACGATTGTACAAGATACAACAATGTTATTTACGAGTGTATAAAAAATTTTGGATTTTTCATCCTCAATGTAAATATCATATGTGTGTCGTAAGAAATTGTCGCATAAGAGAATATGTACATGATAGAGTAAAGAAAAGATATGGCTCTTCATGAAATCCGAAGTATATCATCACCGACATAAAACATTGGGCAAACGTCGTAGTCATTCTTGCATTTATCATGACAACAACTAAAATGAATAGAATATAAAAAGATTTTTTCAAAATAATAAAACAAATCAGTGGTAACCGTTCATTTTTATAGATTTAGTAGTATTCTTTAAAGAAAAAGATTGTTCCACTGAAACACTAACAAAATCATAAAATCTCGTAGTGTCATATCACATTCCTACTGCAAGGTGGTGTAAAATTGCGGCTAGCGGATCTTTGTTTCAGATATTGTTACATTTAATCAATATGCTTTTATGATATAGTTTTTATCTTTTCAAATACATCATGTATGTATGTAAAAAAATTTTTTGTTATTTTGTACAATTTTTTAGTTATAAAGTTCTTCTTCCTTTATTAGTAACATTAATTAAATTAACATTGACATAAAAAAAATAACAATATGCTAATTTCAGAAACACGAGATACTCATGCAAGGTGATTCTAATTTAAGAGCTTCTTGTTTTTGAATATATGAGTATAGATGCTAAAAGATGTTCTCTTCGCCTAAGGCATTACATTGATTTGATAAAAAGAAAATTAATGAGAATTTTGCTAACGTCTTAATTGGTCTCATTATATTGTCAAAAAAATGCATATATTCAAAAAATTTCATCTAGATTTTCATTAAAAATAACTGTGCATAGAGTTCATTTCACTTTGTTTCTCGAACGTCACAGTGACGTATATAATAATTGGTATTCTACAATGCATTGATTTCGACTTTTACTTATAAAGATAAAAAGAATTATTGATGTCTGTTGTTTTTTTTTTGTAAAGTTACATTTAAATACATGACGTTTTTTCTTGAAAATTCTTTGATCCTATGTCAAAAAAAAAAAAATTTTTTGTTCTTTTAGATAATTATTTTCTTATTGATACTATTCTTAAATGGGTGGATCGTGTTCAAAATGTTGTGGATCTGTTGTATTACCAGCGAACATTCCATTCGATGAAATACCAGTTTCAACTACAATACCAATCGCTCCTAAACCGACACGTATTATTGAAAATTGTATTATTATTTGGCTTTTTGATGATCCATCAAATAAATTTGAAAATGAAAAAAGACAATTGAGTCGTCTCATTTATGGATTTCAAATATTTACGAATCCTGATGCATGTATTAATTATATAAGAAATATTCAAGATGAAAAAGTTTTTCTTATTATATCTGTAACATATCAATCTATTCAATATATTTATGATTTACCACAACTTGAAAAAGTCTATGTATTTGATTTATTTTCTAATGATGATCAAAATCGTACTTTACAAAATAATACTTTTCAAGATATTAATAATCTTTGTAAACAATTACGATATGATATTGAATTATGTGAATTAGATCTATTATATTTTTCTGTTATTTCAAATTCATCACAAGATATTAAATCATCAATGATTTTAACTAAACAAGAAGCATCATTTATTTTTATACAACTTATAAATGAAATAATAGCACGTCTAAAATTTGAAAGTGTTGCTAAAGATGTTTTCGTAGATTTTTGTCGAAAATATTATATAAATAATCCTGAACAATTATGTTATATAAATGAATTTGCAAAATATTATCGTCCACATTTAGCACTTGATTGGTTAAACAGATCATGTTTTATTTCGAAAATATTAAATCGTGTAGAACGTACACATGAAATTGATATTCTTTATAAACTTGGCTTCTTTATTAAACATCTTAATATGCAACTAGTACGTTTACATGAAGAGAATGAATTACTAATGAAAAATATCTCTATTGTCTATCGTGGTAAAACTATGTTGACTGATGAATTTGATATATTAGTAAAGAATAATTGTGATGGACTTTTATCATTCTCTAATTTTTTTGTAACTACTATGAATAAGGAAAATGCTATTGATTTTATTCATCGTCGACTTGCAATACATCCTGGTATGCTTGGCATTATTTTCGAAATACATATTGATCATATGATATTCAATGAAGAAAAGCCTTTTGCTTTACTTAAAGACAATTCTATGGAAAATGATGAGATCTGTTTTAGTGCAGGTACTGTTTTTCGAATTGAATCAATCAAACAATTTAATGATAGTTCGTTAATAATTTGGTTCGTAAAATTAAAATTAATTAGAAATGACGATTCACAGCTGAATCATCTCTTGAAACCTTTTCGTACTAATGAACTACATGAAAATCCACTTTCATGTTTAGGTAAACTACTTATGGATATGGGAGAATATAGACGTGCTGAACAATTCTTTCTCGAAATGTTAAATGATGCCGCTATTCTAAGCCAACCTCGTCGTCTTGTACGTCTTCACATTGGTCTTGGTGCTAATTATATACATAAAGGTGACTATGCTACAGCATTAGAATATTATAAACAAGCACTTCAAGTAAGCTTAACGTATTTATCATCAGATCATTGTGATCTCGCTCCTTTGTACAAAAATATTGGTGATTGTTATTTAAATCAAAATAATTATAATCATGCTTTACAAAACTACGAACGAGCAATCAATTTAATAGAGAATAGTATAAAAGCGCCAAAAGGTCAGATTATTACTGAATTATGGACTCTTGTCAATAAAACACAACAATTAATTGAAGAAAACAAGTAGTTATTCTTTGCATTGTCACATAGTTAATAAAAATGGTCTTCAATCACATTTATGTTATTCTAATGGATTACAATGTATAAATATTGTATATATTGCTGAATTTCGCTTTCTTTTTACCTTACGAGAGAATCTTTCCAGATGTCAAATCTTTTTGATTGAAACAATATTCATTTGATGAGTGCTAGTGCGTTATAGAAAAATCTAGAATGATTTGATTGTCCAGCCCTTCGTTCTTGAGATATCGAAATTTTACTCAGTTTTTCAACAAAGAACTGTGAAAAATTGGCTTTCGAGTGCCAATTTCAAACTTTATATGAACAAAGTTCTCCATGAAAATAGTTTCACTGGATAAGCTGTAACTTTTCTAGTATCGCCTAATCTGAGATATTGAATATTCAAAATTCTCTCATGTGTAAAAGCAAATTTTGTTCATATGTTTACATCTTCAGAAAACAGATACTATTTGCAAAATTGAAAAATTCAGTAGAATTTCGATATCTCGAGAATGAAGAACTGAAAAACCAAACCATTCTAGACTTTTCTATTACTCACTAGTACTCATCAAATGAACATCCTCTCGATCGAAAAGCGATTTGAAACCTGGTGAGGTTCCCTGGTCAGTAAAATTAGTAATACATTTAATATTCTATCTCTTTTTTTTTGATGAATGAACTGTTAATTATTTGCATTTTTATATTCTCAGTGTTCTAGATTGACAAAAAGGTTTTCTCCTCTAAGAGTTAAAAAGCTGTCAACGCAATCCCTGCGGGATTAAAATATGAAACACAATGTAGCTGCTCTTGGCATTCACAGAGAGATTGTTTTAATCTATCTGTAGTGCGACACCTTTCTAAACCATCCTTTTAGAAACATACTGAAATTAGATTTGAGCATCATCTTCATTCTCACCATCTACTCTCTCAATATCATGAGAATATTTGCCGTTGGGGAGTATCTATCTGACGTGCACCATTCGTGTTAAGGAGAACATACAACAATAACAGATCTTATAATGATCTTGTTTCAATTATATTTCTACTGAAAAAAGTATCAGTCGTCAAACAAGGAGAGTTACGTCGTGAGTTTCCTTTTTTTTTGTGAACATTCCCGTTAAATTTTTTTGGAAAATGCAGGTGATAGTCAAGTACTTACATCAATAATTAATTCTATTTCAACATATTATTCAAGACCATATGTACAAGTTAGTGTTGAATATAATCAATCGAAGAAAGCAACACATATTGTCAAATCTACTCATTATTTTTCGTCATCAAATGATAAATGGTGATGGAATTGATGAAGTTATTCTTGGTTCAAGTACTACTCAATTAATTCATACATTGGCTCATGTATTTGATAAACTAATTACAAATATAGATGATAAAGTTATTTTGACAAATATCACACATGAAGCAAATTATAGTGCTTGAACAAAATTACATGGAAAAATTATCGAATGGCAAGCACATGAACAAGTTAATATTAATGATCTTTCAGTTTTATTATCAAAACGTACGTGAATTGTAGCTATACCGCATGTTAATAATCTTATGGGCGAAATTTTTGATATTGAAGCTATTTTAAAACTTGTTCATCAAAAATGTCCTCGTGCACGTATATTGTTGATGGTATAGCTTATGCACCTCATCGAGCTATTGATGTTCATCAATGAAATGTTCACTTTTATGCATTTAGTCTTTATAAAGTAAGTTATAGATAATATTATATGATCTATTTATTTGAGAATCACAATAAAAGTTTGATTAGAAATAATCTGTATCGTTTTTTTTTTATAATAGATTTATAGTCCTTCATATGACTATTTTATATAGTTTAAACATTGCCCGACAAGAACTCATTGACATATCTGTTGGACTTAATCATTTTTTTATTCCACTATGGAATATTTTATGTCAATATGAAATTGGATGTCTTAATCATGAAGCATGTGCAGATATTTTAGATTTAAATCTTATTTTGAACGAGTCACTACAAAAACCTGATTTTACCATTTTTAATCCATGATCAACTACAGATCGATAACTGATTATTAGTTTTATTTCATATCATTTATCTTCAAATAATAGTGCCAAACAAACTTTATAAACATAAAATAGTTTGTCGTAATGGCCATATGTATGCTTATTGCCTAGTAGCCACTCGAGAGTTAGATTTCAATGATGGTGTAGTTCATCTTTCTACAATTCATTATAATTCAATAACTGAAATTGAACAATGTATACAAATATTTGAGATTATTTTATCGAATTCGAACACCAAGACAAATGCATCCAGTCAAAACTGATTAAATTCATTCATATATTGTGATTAATGACATTTCAATAAGAAACAAAAATCATATTATAAATCAATTTTGCTGTCTTGTTCATATGAATTTTAGTAACAATGTGTTTGGTTTTAATATAACAATTAGAATCTTACCCAAAAAAAAAACGATGTAGAAAAATATGATCTTTGTTTTGAGAACGATATAAAGGTATACCCAAGGACAGCGTTATCCAACTAATCTTGTAATATTATCTGTAGATTGAATTGTTTAATGAATATTTATGGATGATTATACTTTCAATAAACTTGAATGGCATTATTATTATTAGAATATCAATTCTAGAAAAACTAAAAACCTCTTCAAGTATTAGTTTTACACTTCAAAAAATCGCTGTTTGTCCTGTACACATTTCTTATCGATAGATGGTGACTTTAGTAAACATGCCTCAGCCACTATTACTCCATCGAGGTTTAAAACTAATGTAGAGTACCATTCTTGGTGTGGTAGTAAATGTTTGTAATAGACTGCTTCTCTACTGTTATAAGTACCATTCTTAAAATCATTGTTAACAAGTAGTTTACTGAGACATCATTAAAATAAGTATGCGATAGTGTAGATGGAATGAAGAATGATAGCATTGCTTGATTAGCACGTACAATATAGACTGAACTGAATAGGATTATAAAATGAATAAAGAATAGTGATATTTCGTTCGTTATTTGATAAAATTATCTTATTCTGACTGAATATATGAGACTAGCAGGAGAATCGAAATGAATTAACAAAATCTACTGTATGCTGATGGATTTAATAACTTGATTTATTTTGATTAAGTGATCGAACAGAAGTACAATTAGTCCTTTCATTAATTAAAAAATTAAAAAATAATTATTTGAGGATAATATAATAATTAAAATAAGATAGACATATTGAATTTGACTTTAATAGAATATTGTCACGATGATTTCAGTACTATCGTTGCCATTTCGAAAGTCATCAATATACTTCATAAGACTAAATATCGAAACCATAGTGATATTGAATGATGTATTAAGTGTATAATTTTCTATGAAAATATTCACGAATGTTTTCTACCAATAAAAATAGTAGAATCTTTTATTGTTCATTGTTGAACATCATTAGAAATAATTATTATCTGTATGAATTTTAAAAATCAAACTAATATTATGGCTTTTCGAAAAGAAATGCTCATAGCTTTGAATGACTAAATTTTAATAATGATAACGTTAGATTTCAATGTAGCAAACCACAATATTAAAAATAATAGGTATGCTATACAAGAAAATAATGTTTTCTCGATAAGACTAGATAAAAAAATGAGTAGGTTACTATTTATAACTCCACTATACAACCATGAATATTTTATCATTCGTTATGTTTAGTTCATATAAATAACAGGTTCTCTATTTATAAAATAAAATTAAAATAAAAAAGTTTTTCTTCGTTTGAATGGATCTGATAAACCCATAACCTTCAACTTAACGATAATTCTCATTAAAGCTTGTCTCTATGTAAAGTTTCAAGTCAAAATTCGAAAATCAGTTTTTCTGGTGTTCTTGAGTGAATCACGACATTTATTTAGAAAATCTGTTGGTGTAATCTTTATAGAATTAAAATGTGAAAGATAATATGGCTACTGCTGGTAATGACAGGGATATTGTTTTACTCTGTTTATCTTGAGGCATATTTCTTCATCCTTCTTTCACTTAATCCTCTAGAAATACAATAAGAAAGTATGTAGTTAATATATTATAATAAACCGTTATTAATATACGATCTATGATCGTTTTTGGCCAGCGTCTCTCACGATTTGTGGGGCAAGGCGAGGGTAGATGTAAATTTCTACGCTATACACCTCAGCACTTCTTCGAGAACGTGTGTCACAAAATAATAAATGTTTAATTGGGAAAGAGATCTATATGATATGAGACTAGAATATAACACGAATTAGATTTTGTTCTATGCTGATTTTATTTAATTCATATTTTATAATCAAAATTATTAGCTCAAAGATGATATAAATATAACTTATAAAATAGCCAAGAAAGTCATGTAACTGTTGATATTAACAAATGACCTTGAATTGTTAAGTATGTGCTTTATTAATAGTATCGCACCCCTCTTCTAACATAAAGTAAATAAATAGCAGCAGCAGTCAGCGCAAGTATACCCAATATGGTAATTATCATATTAAACACTAACGCCAAGGTACTCATTTTACGAGCACCATTGATGTCATTTTTTGCTTTTTTACTTCGACAAATAAGAGAGAATATCAGAGGAATAAAACCAAGTATTATTCCTCCAATAAATAAATTAATGATAGACCATGCTAACCAGTCCTGAATCTTGCGAATATCCGGTTGAACTGTTCGTGTTGGAGCATATTGATAAGGATAATATTGATAATTAGGTGGCATATATACAGGTGCAGATGCAGTTACAGTTGGTGGCATAGTTTGTTGTACTGGTGCACTTGGAGCTGTTGCTACATATTCAGTTTTAGATTCTGTTTTAAGTGGATCAAGTGTATATGCATTCATAGTAGTCATATTTTTGATGTGATGAAAAAAGTAAAAAAATAATTCTCTTCACAAAATTTAAGCTTGCAGTTGAATATAAAAAAAACATAGAAGCGATTACCAGTATCAAATTGCTTCCATATTCAAATATGAATAAGATGTTTGATTAATAAATATACAGGAGAGTAGCGAGATTTTTTTTCATATTATCGATCTTATTCTATTGGTAGCTTACGTAGCGATGATTTGAAGATATTTGTTGTTGGATTGAATTTTTATTCTCTTCTTGTCGTTGAAAAACATTTGCAAAAAAAAAGAAACCGACCAAATAAAGCATGATTAGAAAGATGATATTGTGCAAATCCAAATGATCTACATCAGTTGAAAACAAAAATATGATTTTTGTTTTATCTAACTTGCTTGTCGATGCATGGTTTGTCTTAATATTATGAGTAATTTCTATTAGATTTCATTGCTATTGATATTTTTATGTTATTTTTAAGATTAAGTAATTTATACCATCGTTAGTGATGCGTCAGCTTTAAAAGGATTACTCAGAGGGTTGAAAACAGGCCACGATATATCAATAAATATAATATTATTATCAGAATTTTAAAAGAAGGCCATCGGGCAAAATGCTTATAATATTTTGACAAAGATAGTTAGAGACCTGGGGTCTTCATTATTCGAAAGAAGGGTCCGGTAACATCTCATAGTCGCTTCTTTCAAGTAATGAAGACGCCAGGTCTCTAACTATCTTCGTTAAAAAGTTACAAGCATTTTGCCCAATGGCCTTCTTTTTAAATTCCGATAATAGTTAAGAATGAAAGAGAAGCGAAGTGTTTTTTCACATCAAACAATCGATGATGAATGATTAATTATTCCACTAATTATAACAGTTACATCGCTTATAATTTTCACTCAAACTACTGCTATGTAAATAGCAAAGGACTATGTAAAAGATTTTCAATGAAGATATTTAGACTTGAACTTATTTAGTAGTTTAGTTTTGTTTATCAGATTTATAAATATTCTATCATGTTTTCAATAGGTTCATCGTTATCATTTTGTCCTTCTACACGGCTTAAATACTGTTGATGTCAAAAGCTCATTTAAGTTTCTATACGATAAAGTCATAAAATCTATACAGGAACTTTCAATGTTGAATTTTATTCTAACTATTAGTAGTTATATATATATATCTCATAATGAAGAATAGATTTATCTAGAACTAAAATGTTTTGTTTAATTTATTTAATTTATACCAATGTCTTAATCACAAGCACATGTACTAAGT